ACCAAAACTCTGACAAAAATTAGAATTAAGTGGCGGTTGCTAGCACCTATAGGGCACTGACCTAGATTCTGCATGAAGACTCAAAAGCAGCTTTACACTTCTCATAAGGCACATAAATGCAGGATCTAGTGTTGGCTAACTCTGAACCTGAAAACCTCTAGTCAGAGGTCTCTTCAGACAAAAAAACCGTAAATGTCCTCTTTACTACATTAAACTGCCAAAAGGCTAGAGTGAAGTGAAAAGTGTGACTGAACTCAAATGAACTAGAGCAGAATTTTACCACAGTATTTTTCCATTTCTGCGGGTGAAAATGTTGTTTCTTGTTGCCACACAGCTGCTGCTGTATTAGATGACACTGCATTGTTCCCCTGGTATACCTGTTTGGAAGTCAGAAAAGTTACAGCACTGATATTTAGACTATCTAGCACTTGTTAATTTGCGATACACTGCTCAGGATAAAAAAGATTAAAAGAAAAAATATTCCTTGAAAAATCTCAAATCCAGCTAATTTTTAAACATTTTTAAGAGCGTTCTTTCACCCTTTCCATATGTGTTATTTATTTACATCAACAGTGCTTATTAAACTGAGACTCAGACCTAATGTTGTGAATGTTTACTTAAAATTTGCTATTGTGGAACTAAAGAATAACCTGATTTGTACGGGGCTCACAAGGATCATTGAGTCTATCTCCAGGCCCTGGAGAGGACACCCTGCTCTTGCCTGAGAGCATTGTCCCAATGCTTCATGAACTCTGTCAGGCTGGTGCTGTGACCACTTCCCTGGGGAGCCTGTTCCAGCGCCCAATCAGCCACTGGGATAAGAACCTTATCTTAATATCCAACCTAAACCTCCCCTGACACCATTTCAGGCCATTCCTGCAATGAGATCTCCCCTCAGTCTGCTCCAGGCTGAACAGACCAAGTGACCTCAGCCACTCATCATAAGGCTTCCCCTTAAGGCCCTTCACCATCCTTGTTACCCTCCCTTGGATGCTGTCTGATAGCTTAATGCCTTTTGATGTTGTGGCAGCCAAAACTGCACACAGGACCCAAAGTGAGGCCTCACCAGCACAGTGTTCTCTGATAATTATTGCCTCTTATTGCTAACAATCTGTTGCTTCAAAAAAGGAAAACAAAATAAAAGGAGGTATACCTTACAGTATCTTCTGTACTGAAATGTTTTGGTTAGTTGGTAGCTGCTACAGCTCTCATTCAGTCTTGATGATGGCAGACGTCTTTGTGGTGAGAATACTAAGCTACATCCCAGTATCTCTTAGGAAGGAGAAGTAAGATTCCCTAACACGTAACCCTTGGTATCTGCAGCAATAGGTACCAAAGAGTTGAAATAAAATTAATAAAATAGTAAGTAATTAAAATAAAAAAGTGTTCTGCTTATTTGATTACTTTTCCCACGGGAGAAAAGCTGGTATTATTTCTTTTGTGTTGGGAGGTTATGTAGGGGAAGCAGCTCCAAGAACAATCACGAAGGAGCATTCACTACATATCTGTATCACTGCTGACTATGTCATAAGGTCCTGAACCCAGCTGAGGAAAAGGTGTTCCGAATGTGTCAGCTCTAAGGAACGCTATGAATATGCAATAACTACTTTAGTTGGCAGGTTGTGTACAGTAAAATTTAATTTTTTTGGCTCAGTAATTTTTTGTGCACTGGCTTTTTTCCCCAGCTCCTAGGTTAATGTGTTGGCTTGAGATCAAGAAAGTTGCTATTCCTTTTTTTCACTATATACACTGTGGTGTATATGTACTCAGATTATAACTCTCTCCTGTAAAGCATATTTTTATGTATTATGAAAAGGCATTTTAAAAACCCAGCTATTTAACAAAATTTTATCAATGATTGCTACAAATTTAACTCTTTAATCCACAGATGTGTTTCCTTTATTCTGTGTGTTCTGATTTTCTGTTAGGCTAATAGTCACACATAATGGGATTCACCAAGGCCAGTTGCTAATATGACTTCTTCAGGGATTGCACTACATGTACTACTGCCCAACCAGAGTTTATCTTTATTAGTTTTGTCATTTGCATGTTTTCATCGGGTTATAATTAAGTAGATGGTGCATTAATGATTAATTGTACACAGAACCAATAAGCCCTCAACCAGGTCAGACTCTCCTTTGAGTGAGTTTAGTCAGCTTTTGCCTCATGGCTTCTCACTGGATGGATATACAGCCAGCCAATGTCAACTGTGTAATGATGGTATGCATTTCCTACAGAATGCCTAAGAATTATAAGCAGATTGAAACTTGGTGTTCTATAACTTTTCATTTAAAAATCCAGCATCATGCATATAACATGAGTTTTAAGAGACTCTTTATTGCAAATATTTATTGGGTCAAATTCACTACTCAGACCTGTGCCAGCTATGAAGAAGGTACATGAAGGACAGAGCAATGGGTTTGTTCCTTAAAGACCTAGACAGGCTTTCAGAACCTTCTCACACTTTATCTTGTGTATAGCTTACAGAGACATTAACTCTGCCACCATGGGTGTATGGAATTCTTTTGTTCTGAGCATATATTGTATTTTCTTATATTACTTAGGAGTCAGCAAGTCTGAACATTTTTACTTCCAGTTCATTTCTTCTACAGGTCTTTCTCAGCATGCTACCCTATGTCATTAAAAGCAAGAGTTTATGATTCAGAGTCTTCATATTTTCTTTTTTAAATTCTCAATTGTGTGTCAAAATCTGGATATGTAATTAAGTTCAGTGTTAACTGAAGCACAACTCACAAGGAAAGTAGGATAATCTTTGCAATGTGAGCACAAATAAACTAAAAGTCTTGGGCTTAGATTAGAGACAGGACTAAATACTGTTACCTTAAAAATTGTATAGTAAATTCAATAACAAAAAGCTCTTTTCTAGCAAAATCATAAGCACAGTTTTTTGTGGTAGGAAGTTTTTGTTTAATTTTATCCTGGAATTCCCCAGAGGCTTCCACTGGATGAGCATTGTGTGCAGATTTTCTGACAGTGTCACATCACAGCCAACACACTTGAGACAGGCCCACAGGTTCTGCATAAAGAAGCTCCAATATTTTCAGTCCAAGGGGAGACTGGGGACGGAATAAATCACCACGGTGTTAACTTCTACTTTTGACATCTGGAGGAATTTTGAAGTGGGGAACTGCACAAAACAGCACTCAAAAGTTGGAGAAAGGATTGATAGGAGATGTGACAGATGGGAGGACTACATTGTTTTAGATGTCACTTCTCTACTGGAAGTAGATGAGTACCTGGGCTTGAAAAAACATAGTTTAACCCTCCATGAAAAGTGGAGAAATACAGTATTTGAATAAAAGCTACTTTTTAAACACCTAAGCAATGTTTTTGGTTTTCCAGTAGAATATCAGAATTGAAGTAACATATTAGTCCAGATATACTTGGAAATAAATAAAAAGGTCTACTCTGTAAAGATTAATTCAAAAGAATCTCTTAGAAAATAATGATGAATGAACTATTTTCTTGAAACAAACAGCCTTTTAATTAGCAGTAAATCTTCATAATGAAAGGCAAAAGGGGTAAGAGAAATGGCAGGAATGCAGCTCCCAATTCAAAGTGACCCTACAACCAGTTTTGATGAGCCTACTGAAAAATACCGCAAGACTGCTGTGTTGCTTCTGAGGTTCATCTTTGGGTTTTCTCTCTTTCCTCTCACATCTTCAATTATTTTAAACAAGACCATGTCCTTTTTCACTCAGGACAGAACATAGACAAAGAAAAATTTTTTGTCAGGTCAATGGAAGAAAAGCATGTTTCAAAAAGACCTCAAAAGGAAATAAATGTGGGGGAGAATACTTGTGTTCAGTTTATTCCTATGCAAATTTAAACTGGAATTCTGTCTTGAAGTATCTCTGTTTTCACTGTTCCTACTATATGGTCAGAAGACGGTCAGATGTAGAAACTGCACTTTAATTTCACTATAAACTTGGTTGCAATTTACCCAAGCAAGTACTCTTTATAACTAAGGACCATTCCATAGAGCTAAGTATTTGAATCATAATACATATTTGTCACAATTTTATCTTTTCTGTAAGTAAAATTGACAGATTTTTGAGAGCCTGCAGATTAAAACAGGGGAAAAAACTGAAGAGTAAATTCTAGAATGGACTTGTACACACCATTTTAATGTGAAATATTTTTAAGCTAGCTTCATTAAACACTTGAAGTTTCCATTATAAACACTAGAATTTATATTGCGGGATACCGATAATTTTTTTTTAAAGACAAATTCTCTTTAATTGGGTTTTGCACAGTTCATGGAAAGGAGAAAATGTACCAGGTTTGATTATTATCCCATCATGATCCTTTAATTAAACTGTAATTTAATAGCCCTACCACCAAATCATCTTTCATTTCCGTTTTTGCAGTTTGCTTTAGGCAGGAAAAAACATTTCTTATTTGTAATACAATTTTTATTAATTTCTAACTCAGTTTCAGCTGGAGAAAAAAAAGCATTATTCAACCCAAACACATGATAAACACGCTGGAATAAAATGAGAATTCCTCTTATCTACTGGGACAGAGAATAGACAGCCCCTTTTATATCCAGAATTCAGATAATTTTCCTGTTACCAAAAAAAAAGAAAGTGCAGGACGCCTGATAATAAAAATTTTATTGTCAAAATTACTGAGGCTGGTGACCAGACCTGCAGGAGAGAGGCGGCGAGCTCCACGGTGCGCTGAAGGGGCCGGCGCACGGGGCTGCGGTTTGAATTCACGGCCAGCTCGGCGCCGTGAGCGTGCTCGGTGTGCACCGAGCTGCTGCGCCAGGAGGGGGCGCTCGGGGGAAGGGGCCGCGCTCCGGGGCTGCGCGGGGCGCGGGGCGGGCCCTGTGGCGGCGGGCGCTATAAAGCGGCGGCAGCGGCGCTGCCATGGCACGGTGGCCGAGTGGTGACCGTGTGGTGGCGGCCGTGTCGCGGCGCTGGGGGAAGGAGGGAGGGTCCCCGGGGAGCGCTCGGGCCCGCGGCCGTGCCAGCATGGTGGATGTGTTCAGCGGCCGGCTCCTGGTCAGCAAGGACGGCCGCAGCGTGGACCCCGAAGAAGCCCTGCAGAACAAAGTCGTGGGCTTGTACTTCTCCGCCGGCTGGTGCTCGCCGTGCCGCGACTTCACCCCTGTCCTCTGCGACTTCTACACGGAGCTACTGGAGGAGAGCGAGCCGCCCGCCCCCTTCGAGGTCGTCTTCATCTCCTCCGACCACAGCGCCGAGGAGATGCTGGGCCACATGCGCGCCATGCACGGGGACTGGCTGGCGCTGCCCTTCCACGACCCCTACAAGCAGTGAGTACCGGCGGCCCCCCAGCGGCCCTGCCCTCGGACAGCCCCAGTACCGCAGGTGCCCCGAACCTCCGCCCCTGCCCCGTTATCCCGCGCCTGCCTTCCTGCTGGAGCCCCGGCAGCCGCGGCTGCCACGCTGCTCGCTCGCGGGTTTTAGCCCGTCCCACACGTAAAGAACGCGGGCTTGTGCACCTCCCTTGGAAGCGAAAAGGTCTGTGAACGAGAGTTCAGAGAGTAAAGACCCCGTGTGTTAAAGAGATGAGTGAGGTAAAAACGAATGGCAAGTGAGGATCAAGTGATTGCTTTTCAGCAGGGCGGTAATTGTTACTAAGGTTGGTCTGCATTGTCTAGGTTAGTGCTCGGGGAAAAAGGCAAAGGAAGACGCAGCAAAACTTGTAACTGAACTACTTCGGGCAGAGGAAACTGTGAAGAATTTCGGACAGATACAGTATTAGCTGGAGTTTAGCGGTGGCATACTGCACCTGGTACTGGGGTGTAGAACTCCTGTGCTGCTCCGTTTCCAAAGTGACATTCCTGTAGGCAGCTTGCTCATGAAAACAGCAAAAGGAAAGGGCATGTGTGTAATTAACAGGGTGAAGGATGATACCAAGAAGTGTTTTGATGACCTTAGTCAAGGATGGAGCCTCATTTGGATGACTTTCAGAAATCTGATTTAGCTCCTATAAGTATAGACTGGGATTACAGGAGGACAAGTAAGATGTTCAGGGTTACTGAAATGCCTGTAACTGGAGACTTGAAATACAAGTAAATATTGATAAAGAGATTTTTTTCCCCCTCTCTTTAAATGAGTTGATTGTAGAAATTTTTTTTCCAGGTAGTACCAGTCAAGAAGGTAATATGACTTTTAAATAGAGATTGGGTAATAAAACTTGCAGCCAAATCAATTATTTTAAGAAAGGAATCTTTTCTAGTGCTTCTAGTATCTTCTATCTTTCCTTTTAATTCTAGATCCACCCCAGTATGCTACCTGGTGTGTAACACCCCAGCTACTCACTCAACAGGGAGCATGTTGGCTAATCTTGTTTTTTCAGTGCAGTTTGACAAACTCAAGAGCAAATTACTTAAAGCCAGGAACAATTTCATCCTTTCCTGGCTCATTTCTGGATGCCCACTACCAATTTATGTTAGACCTTTTCTCCACTGACTTAAATATTGTTTTGCATAGTTCTCCAAAATTTTCCCAGGCAGTAATTGTATTTGATATCTACTAAGCATGATAGAATGCAGGCAAATTTCCATCAGGAAATGCAGCCCTTGAAGTCCCACACCCAGCAAGCTGTTCGGCATGGCCCATGGGAATGTGCTTACAGCTTCATCCTCTGTGGATTAGAGGTCTATTTCTGACTGCTCTTGCTCAATGCAGAGTGGAGGCAAAGACATTGTTTAATTGGCTTTTCTATGGCATCCTGTAATGCCCTTCACAGTTCTGGACAAGTTCTGGACACATCATCATGGCTTGTCGTGCCAGATAATGTGAGATCGCAGTGGTTACTGAAGAACAGAATGGAGAGGGATATGAACAAGCAATGTTTTTGGAGTTGTGTTTCTTGTGTGTAGCAATGAAAGACTGTGTGGAGCTGTTCAAGGTGCTTAGACTGGATTAACTGGTAGTTTGGTGTCAGGGGTACTGGTGAATCATCGTAGACTTAGTGCAGATGTGTAGTCACTACTCCAAACTATAATTCTGGCTAGGTACTAGTTCTATTTAAGAATATAATTTTTAAAAAATGGGTAAGATAATTGTATTATTAATATTTTAAATTTCATTATTATTTTTAAGGTTCCATTGCAATTAATTGAGTTGGCTATTGTTTTTGACTGTGTAAAGAAGGCGTTTAATATCTTCAGTGAGGTTAAGATATCCTAGCTGGTTGCTTCAGTGTTTAAGATACATAATTGCAGCATAGACTGATGTCTCTTCTAGACATAAGAGAGCCAATTTTAAGTGTGCCATCCAAAATACTTTTCAAGAACAGAAGCATTGGTGATTAATTTTTCTTAAGAAATAGCCAGCATTCATTCTTGTACTGTGTAGAGCCTAACACTGCAGTGTCAAGCCTACCTTCAGAGAAACAGAATACTGAATTCAAAGCAGGATCTTCAGGCTCTTCCATGCTGTCAGTCCTGGCTATTTCCCAGAGGTGGGACTGCACCTTTACTACCCTGTGTGGTCTGTGGCATGACTAATAGGAAATACTGCTCCTGATCCTTTTATTGTCTGAGGTTGATGTAAATTTTTTTTGTTGCCTGAGGCACAGTATTTTGATTCTTGAAGTGAAGTGTGAAGACAGCCTGGTAGGAAGTGAACGCTTGGAAGAGAAAGGGGGTAGTAGAGAGGAAAAGCAGGTGTTGGACAGAACATCAGCAGCAAAGGGTGTTAAATAGGACTGATGTTTGATAATGGCACACAAAGACATACTGCTGTGTTTGTACTGAGCCTTGTGATGAAAAGCATCAGTTTTTGTGAGAGTGCCTGGTGTGTACAGTAGGTCTTGCAGGCTTCCAGGTAGGCAGGTATTTACTGAGTTGGCCTGTACAGCTCAGTAAAAATTAGAATTATGGAAAATGCCCATAAAAAGAAAATGAAAAGGTTATATGTACATTTTATATTAGGAAGCTTTATGCATGAGGGTAGATTGGCACGGGCAGAAATACTGGGGAGGATGGATTGTTAAAAAACAAAGATAGAATAATGTTAAGTATCTAAGCAGTTAAGAGCAATTGCTTAGTTCTTAGACTTTTTAGACTGCTATTGCAAAATCTCAGCAGACGCTTTAAAACTGAATCCCAAGCATGTGACGTGCATGCTTATGACTTAAGATTTAACAATGCAGAAATTTCACAGCTAAAAGAAAATACTTAGAGCTGTATTACAGGGCATGCTACTAGAAGCAGATGAGCAAGAAGCCCATCCCTTTCACATGACAGCACTTCCAAGTGAAAACTGTTATAATCCAAGTGTTTTCAGATATCGCACTACACATGTGTATAAAATTTACCATTTATGTTCCCAGTATTATATTATATCTGCCCCATGTTGTCTTCATCTCAGGAATGCTCTTTAAGATCTTAAACCCTTACATAAAGATACTTGTGCTGTGGCTCAGCCTGGGTAGGCAGCCAGGCCCAGACGGCTGCTGGGTCACTCCCTGCCCCCACGGGACGGGGAGGGAATGTGGACGGTGAAAGTGAGAACACTTGCGGGTTGAAATAAAAACAGTTTGATAGATAAAGCAAAAGTAAAGATAAGCAGGCGAAGCAAGATACGAAATTCATTCACTAATTCCCATTCACTGACGGATATTTTAACAGCTTCCAGCACAGGATAGCCTCATCCTGTAATGACTGCATGGGACGATAAATCTCCGGGCTCTGAATGTTGATCCCTCCTCTCTTCTTTCTTCAGCTTTTACAGCTAATCATAGTGTTGCATGATATGGAACATCCTTTGATTGTTTGAGATCAGCTGTCCCAGCTCTGCCTCCTCACAGATTCTTGTGCAACACCAGCCTACTCACTGGCATGGTAGCACAAGAAGCAGAAAAGGCCCTGGTGCCCTATTGCTACATATCAGCAATAGCTAAATTACTCTTGTGTTACTCAGTGCTCTTTTGGCACGCACCATGAACGGTGCTGTGAAGAAAATTATCTCCCAGCTAATGTTAGTATTTTCTAGAAATACAAAATCTGTGCTCTCAGAAACTTTCATCCAACCTTCTCTTAAGAATAGAAAGATCTAACAATGGCTATGCCTTCCAGTTTGCCTCAGTCGTAATGTCATGGGTTTTTATTTCTATTTATGGTTTAATGATAGCATGAGTTGCCATTGGAGTTAGTCCCATGGGACATATGTGGCTTGTGGAGGTGAATCATGAGATTTTAGGTCCCTATCAGAGAGAATGATATTAATAACTTTTAAAAAGTCATTTTTGTAAGCACATGTGCCTATGTACACAGTGATTAAGAAGCACTGTCTGCAGAACTCTTTCTAAGCCTTCTTCAGGTCCACCGATCTTGAAAGCTGTGCACAAATGTGAGCAAAATCTGTGCACGCTTCAGTCTGGTGTGATGCAGGCAACCTTCTGCCCTAAGGCTGTCTGAACAAGGTGCCATGCTGAGCTGGATATATGCATTCCCTTAGGAAAGTAATGTGTAAGATTCCAGTTCCATAACAAATTCCATACCTTCAGTCTCCTAGGGCTCTGTCTGTGATTGATACAATTGTGTTTATCGTTCACTGAACCAATAAGTCTTCCACCCATCTTGTCTGTCATTCAGGTGGTATGAGGTTGTGAGAAACAGCTGCTCACTTTGAAAATTTAAAAAGGTTTATTAAACCTTAACAAAAATACAACAAAGGATTGCCTAAGGAAAAAGCTGCAGTGCTGGCTGCACGGTATATGTGCAAACCACATAGCCAGTTAGTCTTCAAGGTGGATGCTCGGTCTTTTATACCCCTGGGCGTTGCATCAGCCAGCCCTGACCCCTCCCAACGTCTGTCAGTCAGCTCCTCTTTGCCATTTATCAGTGGAGATTTTTTTCTTGTAACTTGATTGGAGGTCAGGTGTTGCCATGCTGCAACCCTAAGCACCAAGCTTTTCCATTCCCAACTGCCCCATGCAAGGGGCACATGTGCAGCCTTCTTTTACGTCTCCTAGATGTTATATTTGCCCAGTTATCCCATCATCAAAAAAAACCCCAAACAATATTAAACGTAGCAGCAATTTTAATTGAATAGCTTAGAAGATATAAAATAGGATACACTTGAAATATTGACAATATAATTTGGTTAAAATGGGGGATAATTTGGTTCCAATAATAGCGCATAAGCAAAAAAAAAATAACCATGCGGGATACGGTGTGCAGGGTCCTTGGACCCCTCACGTATGAGCTTGTCGAGCGAAAATTCCCCCTTTTATGCCATGTGCTAATGCCATCTCCTCCCATTTTTGATTCATCACACTTCTACCTCTGCCTTCATCACCACCTTTACGGCACATGCTCCACCACTCATTTAGGTGGTCGCACCATTCTTTGGGGGTCACCTCTGATGAAGGCCTCTCCTCTTCCTCGATGTCCTTTAACTCACCTTTGGGTTACACATGCGCACTGAGCTAGTGTAATGTAAGCCAAAACTAACATAATATTATATTTAAGCATTAAAGCAATAAATCTCATATAATTAGCATTTTCCTGGGACCCAACCAGATTTTCCTTTCTTTCTGTTAATTTTTAGTAAATGGTATCTCTTGCTTTTTCCTGCCTTGTACATCTGCAGGAAAGGGGAGGGGTCGGGCGGGGGGTGGAACCCCTCCTCTCCCGTTCTTTCTTGGCATTACAACTTTTAACTGTTTTGTCATTTCCAAATATTAATTACTGTATCAATATTGATTACTGTTTCAATTTTGTCAGCCCGAATCATACCTATTTACCACGTAGACAGCCCAGGCAGTCTGATGGTCACAATACAGGACGGGGGGAAAGAGAGTTATGGGGAGAACAGAGGACAACTAAACTCTAATAACATAACTATACATCACTAAAACTTTTCTTAATACTCACACAATAGTCATCCCTTATTTGTGAAAGCCAACTGTCTCATTATCTACCTATAACAAGGTGATAGTAGTTTTACATGGCTTCTATGCATACTTGCTTTGGAATGTGTTTTTTTCACCTGTTTTAGCAGATTTTGGGAAGGTCTGTGGGGATTGTTTGTTGATTCCTTGTACATCACAATTCTCTGAGGAAGCAAACCTGGTCCATACACATTATTGCTGCTTCCATAGTATTTTCTGCATTATTGCTCAGCCAACAAAATAGCAGAACAGTTTGCTTCACCTGTTGATTTTTCTTCTCTTAAGGAAAAATAGAGAAGGGAGGGCACGTTTCAGGTATGCCTTATCTGTGTCAGTATTTCACTTAAGTCTTATTTTTCAGTGCTTTTTTTCCTCCCAGGAAATCATTGAGAATGTCTGTGTATTAGTGTCAAGCATTTTTTAGCACTGTCTACATTTTTTTCCTACTCAAATTTCTGTGGTGTTTGAACCTCATACAGCAAATGTTCTTGCTTGTGGTGATGCCGCTCAGGCAGCATATTTCCATTTATCATTTTAAGTATGCTTTGAGAGAGATGTTGTTAGTGTTTTGGAATCTGGCTGTTCTGTTACTGCCTGTTTTGTGTCTGTCCTCTGGTTCTTCTGAAGGTGCAGAGGAGGTGTTGAAATTTTTTTCTCTGGCAACACAGATGGGTGGCTCTTATTCCAAATATTTTGATTGCTCACTTTTCTGTCTGTAGAGGGCTTGTTTCTCTGAGGGAGTTTAAGGAGTATCTTCAGTCTCTTCCATTTACACAAAAAGATGGTGTATCATGCTTTCTTTAATGGTGATTGCAGGAAGTAGCACTATGGGGCACTCAAGTGTATTTGTAGGGGAATGAATATCAAATACTAATCAAAGTGAGATCCTTCTGTGCTGTAAAATGGACCCAGAACTACATCTGCTTTGGGCTAGTAAAAAACAGTTGGAAGAGTATATCAGGCTTTGCTTCTATGGACATCTTTTACATCTCCAAGAGCCTCTGCTCCTGTGGAAACTGCAGGCAGCAGTGATGATCATTTACAGGAAGGATGCTGGAGCTCTCTTATCTTTCAGAGCTACCTTTCACGGTGTAGGCTTCCAGCTACAGCCTTGTTCATCTCCTGACACTGCCCAGTGCTCTGCCTCAAATTCTGGGGAAGCCCAGGCACTCATCACTTCTGCTCTCCCATGTGTCCTGGCCAGAGTAGCCTTTGTGAAGACACTAGGGGTTTTCTTAAAATGCTCCTAATGGTGTGTTTTATTTTTCATTTTTTTCCACAGTGATCTGAAGAAGAGATACAACATAACAGCAATTCCTAAACTTGTGATTGTGAAACAAACTGGCGAAGTCATTACTGACAAGGGAAGAAAGCAGATCAGAGACAAAGGGCTGTCCTGTTTCCGGAACTGGCTTGAGGGTGCAGATATCTTTCAGAATTTTTCTAGCTAAAATGTTGGCAAATAAAAGCAAGAAAAGGCATAGTGGAAAAGTTGGTAGAGCTCTGAAAAGACTCTTGCTTTGTTCAGAATGAGAAGGGTAAGACTTATTTACCTTTGCTTGTAAACAAATTTTGGATTTGACTTGAAAACCAGTTATTCCAGTGTCATAAAATGCAATTATTGTTGTATTGTTCTATCAGTGATATTTAATATGAAGCACAATGTTCCAAATAATACTAAAGAACTTCAGAAGAATCGGCTGTTTAGACGGTAATAATAGAAACCTTTGAAATCTATGCAAACACTTACTTTGCTAAGTCAACACAGTAAAAATAAATGCAAAAAAACTATTTATTGATGACTTTTTTTTTTAGGTGATTAGCACATTTTATTAAGAAAATGAAATTGTTTGCTTTAATAAATAACTGTTTATGAAATATGTCTCATGTACTTCCTTATCTACCTTAACAAGAATAATCAGAAAATGTCATGACTTTTAAATAGAACATATTTGCTTGTCAGTACTGAAGAAATATTATTTTAGTATTCTTTTAAATACATTTTATTTTACTTTTATGGGATTTATTTATATTTATTTATAGTTCTACTCAGTTTTCCTTAACCATGGGTTTTAAAACTTTGGCCTATAAGCTAAGTTCCAATTCCACAGGATTGGAACTAGATGATCTTTAAGGTCCTTTCCAACACAAGCCATTCCATGGTTCTGTTATGTTAGCATCCGAGTTAACATCAGTCAGGTTAAGAAGAAACCATTTTCCATCTTTTCTTTTGCCAAAATATGTAGAAGAAAACGTCAACAATGATACCAGGTCTCTCTGATGAATGTTCATGTTGTATCTAAAGCACAGCTTGATTTGCTGTCTCTTCATGGTTGGCGGCCCAGCCCAGACATTCATGCAATCAATGAGCCAAAAAAACCACTTCCCATGCAGGCTGAGTGTTTGCTGATTGGAACCTAAAGACTTTAACAGAGCTGTTATTTTTTCCATTACAAGCACTTATGCTACTAACACTTGAAGTCTGGCTGACTCAATTTGGAGCAAGAGAGCCTGCATCCACCAATTGTAGCACTCCAGTTGTGTGTAGTGTCCCCACAAATCTTTTTGCAACCCCAGGGGGGTCACAGTCCTCCAGCTGCACCCAGAATTGTGACTGCCTGTCCATCCCCTGGGCTACGTGCATTAGTGTAGAGGCATTCAGTGAGGCACCCGAGAGTGCTGATTCCTCTGCAGACAGTTCTTTGTGTGAAGGGTCACCACTTCAGCCTTAAAACAAAACACTGATTGTGATGTCTCCCATCTGCAGTTATTGCCTTGCTGACTCCACCCACCATTATCTCTATTATTTGTTGAGCTACGTTTGCCTTACCATCAGAAAACTTAACAAAGAGGGTCTGAACTTTAATGTGTGTGAAAAAAAAATTGTCTGAACAGTGGAAATGTAAAAAGTCACATGTACTTCACAGTAGGTAAGAAGCAAGTACACCAGAGAAACTAGTTTTTAAATGGAAAATAATCTCTCTAGAAAGTATTCAGCAGAGCTGTGAGTGCTGTGCTCCTTTTAGCTGTTTCAAAAATTACATCTGGGTATACACAGACAATTTCTAATTTGTGCCATCTCACCATATTAGTATTCATGGTCTTTCCTAATGAATGCTAAGCTCCTTAGGAAATTTTTTGTGCAAGTGAGATGTGAGCTCTCCCTGCTGTTCTGAAACCACCTAATAGCAGATATATTTCAAATATAAGATGAGAAAAACAATTATCAAAGTGTTTCCAAAAGTTTGAAAATAGGTTACCTGAATGTGGAACAATTTTTATAGCAAAAAGATCCACTGCACCCTATTATCAGATTTCAGGCATTACTTCAACCAAGATATCTTGAGTCAAGATGATTGATATCTTGATTCTTGTTTGTCTATATGCACATATATGAAAGAACTCAGTATTTTATAACAGAGATGGACTTAGGCCCTTTGAGTAACACAAGTTCCAAGTAAAATTCAGCTAAAAATTCATAATGATGAAACAAAGATATATACGCTGTAAAAAGCTTGGTGTGACTTCAGTCAAGGACTGTTGGTTTTGCACATCAGTGTTTGGAATATCAGAAAATTGTTTTCCTTGTCAGTGCTAAAATAATCCATATTTGACTTAGATGAAGTACAGAGTAGTGGAAAATATTTTATTAACAATACCTTGTGAAATTAGAGAAGCAAATCCTAGTGGGTCAGCTGTAAGCTTATTATTACTTGGGATGTGTGTTCTTTGGAAATGGAACTTTCAGTGTACTCATCTTAGAATGTATAGAATTGTCCCTTTAACTTTCTTAAATCATTCTTCAGTTCACTGATGACTTTCTACACTCTATATTTAGTCACAGTCACCTTGAATATTAGTGAGTACCAGTACTTTTTCAGTGGAGTGAGGAAAAAAATGCAACAATAGGCAGCAGCATAGTGATACTGGTTGATGCTGCACCTTTTTAAAGGAGTCAACTAAATAAAAAAGTAAAGTTAAGAAGAGGAGCATTCTTCCTAATTCCACTGGACAAGATATTGTCCATTATTAGTAAATAATTTATGGATCGATATATGCTAAAATTGCTAAGAACCAGTGGTGTTGAATTTGTTGTAGGCTTTATGGACAATTACTTTACTATGAAAAATGGCAAAGATTGTAAGTTGATACTTTGTGAATTGATAGATAGCCTGAATCTTGTAGAGACTTGCTGCAGGTGAGTGATGCAGGCTGTCCTGTGACTCTTATTTTAGGAAGAGGCAAAGCAGAAAGGGTGACAAATTCAGACATGAAATATACATCAAAAAGGCAATAATAATCTCTCTCTTTGTTAATCTTTTATTCCTTTTATTCTTTAATCCTTCTCCCAAAAAAAGTTTCCTTCTTCCTCCTCCAGAGCTGCTGTTTTCAAACTTTAATAGTATTATGATGTATTTAAATGTATGTGCTTAAAAATAGGGGGGAAGGGGGTGTTAAATCTCTGTTTATTCACCTGAACTCTTCAATTATGATATTTTGGGCTGAAGAAAAAAACCTAGAGTATGTACTTGAAAATTCCTTGAAATGCTGTCATGATATCTTGATATGCATTTTTAACACTAAATCTTTTACTTTTCTTCTCAGTTGAGAGTACATGCAAAATCTCAGTAGCTCTTCCTGAAGTATGAGTTAAATCTAGACTGCAAACAGCTGTTCTGAAGGACACAAGTAGTAGCTGGTACATACATGACAGGGTTTTATTTTTGCTTTTCATTTCATTTCCACCCTGTGCACAGCCTTGTTTTGCCTTTTGTACAGCTGAGTTTTTTCTTAAAACCAGATAAGAGTTTAACTGTTACGTGTTCTCTCTGCAGGCAATATTCCTAAAAGGGCAACTGTAAATTTTTTTCTGTCAGTTTCTGTGAAGATGGACATATAAATGTCCAATACCAAAAAGAAACACTTTTAAGCCTTTTACCTCCTCAATGTCATTTAAATTTCTCTAGTGGATGAAGTTCAATGATCAGTCTCATGACTTTCTGATATCAATTAATGCTGTCAGTGTCAGGTGAAGAACTTGCTGTGGAAGGTGCTATTTCTATCCAAAACCACTGCATTTAAGCATAGTGGTACAGTCCCAAAGAAATACTTCAAGGAGAAGTTGAAGAAACTTGGCAGAGGGGTGTTCTTATGTAGACTTCTCTCTGGGCAGGAACTGAGATGGGAGCCCTAACAATTCAAACAGACAAACAGAAGCTGTAGGCAGGTTGTAAATAGATATAAGCACTGTCCTGGAAGTGTTTGTCCTGGCTATTCCAGTAACTCTGCCTACTTGGATTTGTAGGACATTGACAAATCAATAGATTCTTAGAACAATAAACAGCCATTTTGTGTAGGCAGTAGCCAAAGCTCCCCAATCCTTCTTGTACAAATAACCTTAAGTGCATGCAGGACATCCAAGGATGTATTTTTCAGCGATTACTGTTTTTCCAAGTATAACGTGAGGGCACATTTGCCATGGAAACATAAAATTTACTAATACTCTTATGCTTGGATCAAAATTGTTTTCAAAGGAAGCTGTTTTATTTGAATAAGTGGGGCTTTGTCCCAGGACAAAGCCATTTACTGAGATTCTCTTCTTTGGCAGTAGCTTCAGTTTGGTTTTGAAAGGCACTCGGGTTTCTAGCAGGACTGTCAAAGCCTTAAGTTCTCTTCAACAGATAGCATGCCTGTTTAAGCATAGAAGAGGATGTTTTTAGTAATTTTTCATTTATGCAGCAATCTCCTGGTTATGTTTATTTCTTACTTGGAAATTAATAGCAATACTGCCAGCCTCAAGTGGTACATTGAGGGTTATAATGTCTATTTCATTGTGCAAGGAACTCTGTCTCTCTGCCACTGGCTTCTCCCAGTATAATACATAATAACCCATTGAATACCATCTCTGAAGGTTGACATGTTTGAAGGGTGCTCTGGAGCTCCAGGTGTGCTGATGCAATGCCAATGCATACACATTTTGTGACCCAGTGCATTCTACATAAATTGGAAGGCAGCTGTATCTTGTTGGTATCACCAAAGCAAAATTCCATGGTCTACATCTAGATATGTCCTCTCTAAAACCTCATAAAGCTGCTGCCACATATAGTTCCTATCTGGTGAAGAGACCAGAGAATGAAGGGCAGGCAAGGGGAATGAGTAGACATCTTGATTGTATCCTGGGGTCCCAGTCCTGGCTTTTTTTATCAACACTGAAAAACACATACTCTGTTCCCTGGATCAATATGACATGCTGCAGCTACTTGTGCTTATGAAGAGTGCTGCTTTTAGTAATACCTTAACTAACACCTATCAGTAGAAGAGTATTCACATTAACAATATCTCCATTTCTATTCAAAGTTGACACATTATCACCTCCTCCAAGAGAAATTCAATACATTGCACATTTAACGCCATGCAAGATTTTGAGTATATTGGGGATTTTACTGTTTGT